TCTGCGGCCAGCGTGACCGTATTAGAATCTGATCGCATCACCCACTTGCGTGAAACCTTCTGTGGCTTCCTTATTGCACTGAAAAAAAATTATCCAAGTTCCTCTAGCAGGTTCTCTCCTCCCCCCTCCCACCGCCACACACACACTTCTTCTCCCACTCCACCCCCCACCCCGCTGCTCCTCCTCTGCTTGGGTCCCACTTTTCCTTGTAGCCTCCTCACTGCCTGGCTGACTCATTGAAATGTCAGGTTTTGATATAGCTTCCATTCTTTCAGCTTAGCTGTCATCCCAGATAGCCCCCACGATCCACCACAATTTTTCTTACACAGCATTAATGCAAAATTTATTGCACCTGTCAGGTTATTAGCCAGGGCCCCCTCTAGTCCTCTCTAGTTCCCTCTAGTCTGTTATTCAGAACTGTTCACAAACCAAAATTATCGGAATCTGTTAAAGGTGCAGAATCTCAGATCCAGCCAGAGCTCCGGAATCAGTTGTCTTTTTATTGTTGTTGTTATTATTATTATTGTGGGTTTTGAGACAAGGCTTCTCTCTGTGTAGCCCTGGCTGTCCTGGAACTTGCCCTGTAGACCAGACTAGCCTTGAATTAAAGAGATCCGCCTGCCTTTGCCCCAGGAGTGCTGGGATTAAAGACAGGTACCGCTACTGCCAGGCCGCTGAGTATTTTAAAAAAAAAAAGGTGTCAAAGTAATTCTTGTTATCTAAAAGTTTTCTTTTGAGGCAGGTCTTCCTTGGTCGCCCAGCCTGTCCAGGAGTTCACTAAGAGGCAGGCCTCTTCCCTCAGGCTCCTGATGTTAGGATTACAAATGCAAGTCATCATGACCTCAAGCCATTGTTTTAAAAAACGTGGTTTCTCTGTACACGTGTACACATAGCTGGCTGTCCGGGAGCTCTCACAACAAACCAGGTTAGCCTTGAACTCACAGAAATCCACCTGCACCTGCCTCTAAAGTGCAGGGATCAAAGGCTAGGGCCATTCTTATTCAGAGGAAACTGAATTTACCTACTGTAGATCCCACAGGGTCAGAGAACACTTTCTAGACAGTTGTGCACGTGGGTCTGTCCTACAGTAGGGATTTAACTGCTCAGAGCATCAGGTGAATTTCTTGTTCACAAACATACTTTCCAGGGAAACCTGAAGTAAACTGATCAAACACTGCATATGTTATCAAAGGTTTTCCTTTTAAATATCCCAGCATTACTTTCTCATGTTTAGCTCTTCAGTCTTTGTGTTTGAAATATACGAATGATTAGTTCACTCCTAACCAGGCTTCTTTAGTGGGATTTTTAAAAAATTGTGGGTGCGCCTGCGAGTGCCTGTGGGTGTGTACGTGCACACACACCCACACAAACAGAGCTTTTACATATCCAAACAGACTTTTGGGGGTCAATTTTGGCTCTTCGTTACCAATTAATCTGTTTTCGGCTGCCAAGTAGACAGTGAGGAAGACCTATAGTGAGGCAGGGATGCACCTCGGAAAATTCTTTTTTTTTTTTTTTTTTTTGGTTTTTCGAGACAGGGTTTCTCTGTGGCTTTGGAGCCTGTCCTGGAACTAGCTCTTGTAGACCAGGCTGGTCTCGAACTCAGAAAATTCTTTTTGCTGAACTCCATACTCACGTTTTCAAACTGCTGGGTCCCAAGTGTGTGCAGAAGGTCCAGGGCTGCCAGCACATGCGCCGTGTATTAGAGCTACCTGACTTAAACAGCTCAGCTCTTCATGGCACAGCTCAAGCAGCCTGCGAGCCTAGAACACGCAGTGTACTATAACTGAATGAGGAGAAGCATTCACTCTTCTGAACATCTCGTGATTTTGATTATATCTCTTTAAATTGTTAAACTGGGTGTGCTGTTGCATGCCTTTAATCCCAGCACTTGGGAGGCAGAGGCAGGTGGCCAGTTTTCTGAGTTGGAGGCCAGTCTGGTTTACTAAGAGAATTCCAGGTCAGCCAGAGCTACACAGAGAAACCCTGTCTTGAAAACAAAAGCATATTGACAGTTGGGTGTGATGGCACACATCCCTGTAATCTGGTACTAGGAAGGTGGAGGCAGGAGGACCACAGGTATTTTCAGCTATACACAGACTCTGCTCTTTTGGGAGGACCAGAGTTCAGTTCCCAGCACCCGTGTTGGTCAGCTTCCTGCTCACCTAAAACCGTGGACCTCTGCCCCTGCACTCACGCACGCGCGCGCGCACACACATACACACACACACACACACAAAATAAATCTTAGAAACAAGTACCCTTTATGACCCCGATTTCTGCAGTGCCTGGGATTGAACCCAAGGCTACAAGCGCTCTACCAACCGAGTTACACCTGCAGTCATTTTGGAGCATGGTCCTCAGTAATAACTTTAAAGCTGCCATCCTTGTGGGTGCTTTTTTTGTCTGCTTCTTTGCTTTGTCTCCCCACCACAGGTTGTAGGAGATTAGAATACTGAGCGATACTTTCATCATTTCATTAGCTCCTGCAGCCCCAAGATTAGTTTTCTTGCACGGCCGATGTACAAAGGTATTTTATGAGCACACAGAGAAGAGGGGCTCTTCACACTTGGCTTCCAATTCTCTTCACAGAACAGTAACCAGAAAAAAAATTGTTTTATAGACAGTTTCAAACGTGAAGTCTTTTTGTTTGTTTGCTTGTTTGGGGGGACAGCGTTTCTCTGTTTCACAGTACTAGCTAGGGCTGGAGAGATGGCTCAGAGGTTAAGAGCCATAGCTGATCTTCCAGAGGTCCTGAGTTTATTTCCCAACAACCACATGGTGGCTCACAACCATCTACAATGAGATCTGGTGTCCTCTTCTGGCCAGCAGACACACATGTAGTCAGAACACAGTATACATAATAAGTAAATAAATACATTTTAAAAAACAAACAAACAAACAAAAAACCAAAAACAAACAAACTAGCTGTTCTGGAACTAGCTCTAGTCGACCAAACTCACAGAGATCCGACTACCTCTGCCTCCCAAGTGCTGGGATTAAAGATGTACACCTTAAAAATGTTATCCATTGGCTGGATGGTGGTGGCACGTGTCTTTAATCCCAGCATTTGGGAGGCAAATGCAGGCGGGTCACTGAGAGCTCAAGGCCAGCCTGGTCTACAAAGTGAGTTCCAGGACATCTAGGGCTGTTATACAGAGAAACCTTGTCTTGAAGAAAAAAAAAAAAAAAAAAAAAAACCTCTTCCATCAAAAAGAACTCCTTTGACATGGTCTAAAACCTACTCAAATTCCTTTCTTTTTTTTTTTTTTAAAGCAGAATTTGTAATTCAGTAAAGGCTGGGGTTTGTCTAAGATTTATATCCTTGATGGATCAACAATCTTTTATAATGATAATGGCAGGAGACAGGATTGACACAGGCAAGCCTTGTGGGTAAACAATGTTATAATTTGCTTTTCTCACTGTGTGTATTCATTACATTTCAGGGTGATAAATCGATAAATGAACGGTTTTCTAATGAACTAGGAACCAATGTGAGCTTGAAGAGGGGTTTGAGGAACACAGGTTCCACCTTTCCAACCTTAAGGTCCGGGGAAACTCTGGTCACGTGGCGATAATTTGTTTCCTTTTTGCCCCACCGTATTTACCTCACTCAGAAACATCCAAGCACAGCTTTAAAACAAAGTTGCTACACCCGGGTAGTTTAGTTCATTAGTGTTGTCTGTGCCCCCCCTGGGACCAAGCCATAAATAAATACTTGGTAGCTCGTGCAGATTGAATGACTTAAGGTAAACAAACAGGCTCAGACGCTTACAGGAGCCACTGAATGTAAACAAGAACCGCAAGCTGCGGGAGTAGGGGGCCCCAGCTCCCTCTAACCCAGTGGCTCCCACGCTGTTGTTAGCTTACCCGGCTCTTTTGGAAAATCAAGTCTGAGTTGCTAGAGTTTATTTTCCAAAATACCCCTAACAACCCGGGCTTAAACTATTGCGAACAACTCGAATATTTCTCGAAGTCCCGGAGGGTCCGCATTAAACAGCAGATAAGAAAGCACCATTTTCTGAGACCTGTGATTGCTAGCGGAGCCCTCTTGGGTCAGCACTTGCTACCAGTGGGCCTGTCTGGGTTCCCTTCTGAGCGGCGTTGTTGTTGGCGTAGGGGAACTTGAGCAATTTAATCTCTATCAAATTATTTTTGCATCTGAAAAGTGGTCAAATTTCCGAGGGCCAGGTTGAGGACAGGACGAGAAAAATGCAAACCCAAATCTTTATCATGAAGGCCTCCAAGCCTGTCACCCAGAAATTATTCAAAGGCCTGCCAGACGGTGTGCCAAGAAGTTCCTGTTTCCAGAGATCCCATCTTTCTTCCTCCACAAAGGATCTAGACTTTTCAGAGATGAAGGTGGTCCCTTCTCTGTGCAGGACCAACACATCCACAGGAAATGTGCAGAGCTTTTCAACAATTCCAGTACCGCCGGGGAACACCAGCCCGAAACCCGGCGCCACACCCGCGCACGCCTGCCCAGAGCAGACACTATCGCCTCCTCTATCTTACAATTGGCAGGCACTACACAGCTTTTCCAAAGTTTAATTTTGTACTCGAACTTGGGACTCTTCTCACGTGACGTCTACTAGTTAAGGCCTCGTTTTTATCACTTCTTGGAATGGACCGCAGTTTAGAATTCGAAAAGTTTTCCCTTCCCCAGTCCTTTCCTGGGTTGTTTACATTTGTCTGTAATTGGCGGAGAATAATAAAGCCAAGGCTCCTGGTCTCACCCCGCCCCCAACTTTCTTCCCAGGAAGATTTTCTTAAGCTACTCCTGAAGGGTGCCACTGCCACAGTGGCGGGCACGACCTCTCAAAGTTGATCCTTCTCTGCCACCTTCGTGTTTGAAGAAAGCAATTTGGGGGCGGAGCAGGACTCGCCCTCCATGCGCCCCCCTGCTGAGGGTCTGCGACTTGCCCCGGCAGGTTGCACTCCCGGGCGACTCGAGCTCTGCGCCACTTCGCTCCGGCGCGGAAGGGCGGGGACGCGAGCGGGCCGACGTCAAATTACGTCACCGGGGAAGTCCCCTTAAGACCCGCGGGCAGGCGTGGGGCGCCCGAACAGAGAGCATTCCTGTGCTCGTGCAGCCTACAGAAGCTCGGTGCGTCTGATCCGCTGCACCCTCGGTCCATTTCGCGCGGCCCGAGTCCTGTGGGAGTCGCAGAGCCGAGGTTGGGGACCTCGGTTCCCGGTGCGCAGCGGAGATCGCCGCGGCGCTTAGGAGATGCCCCGGAGCGAGGCGCGTCAGAACGCGCCGTCGGACCCAGCGCGGGCAGGTACTTCTTAGCAATTCGGCCCGCGGACCCCCAGTTGAGGTCAGAGGGTCGAGGTCACGGTTGGACGGTTCAGTCCTTCGGGGCTCGGGCCAGAACGTACGCGCTTGCATTGTTCGGGCCAAATCGGCTCCCCGGCTTGCGCCTTCCACGCATCTAGAAAGTTCTTCAGGGGCTTCTACCAGGACTGCGGGCCTCGGTGGGAGTTCAGCCCACCGTGTCATTGAGATGCAGGTGCATTTTAGGGCAGAAAGGATCTTTTCCGTCTGTCTGGTGGGTCTCTACTTGCTCTACCTTCAGGCCAGAAAAAGTGAGAAAGAGAGGGGAAAAAAAAAGATACATGTGTAGACCGTGGGCTGGAAGATAGTTTTAGCGTCAGGTGGAGGTGGGAGAGGCCTCCGGCCTAACGCCTCCCTGACAGGTCCCCTTCCTTCCCAGACCATCTTTGAGAGCCCCCTTCATCTCGATCGCCGCCGCCCCACCCCCAACACCAAGTAAACTAGCGTTCAAACTTTGGACTCTCCCAGCTATCACACCCTAAAGGCGTGGGCTTGAGACTCAGGTATTGAGGAGCTTTTTAACTGTCCAGGTTGGGAACGGCAGGAGAATAGAATTTGGTCCTCGACTCCCATCCATCAGCTCTTCCCATCCCAGGCACTCACATGCAACTCCTTGTAACAGTGAGGGTCGGTCCCCCCCTCCCTCCTTATTTTTTATAAATCTTAATTAAGCAAAAGTGCCTGTCACCTGTTAAGGGATTGCAAGGCTCTGGTCCGAAAATAACTTTGCGGGGCATACTGGTGTTTACTCAGGTACAATCCCGGTTTCTCCTATAGTTTTATAAGGCCAGGGGGCAATGCAAAAGCGGTACATTGCAAGTATAAGGGTGGTTAAACAAGATCCGAATGGAGGAGGAGCTTTGCCCATCTTTTTTTTTTTTTTTATTAATGTGGTTTCCAAGCGTTTTGACCATGTTTCTGGAAGGCCCAACATGAGCATGGCTTTGCCTGGACCGACTTAAAGAGCAGTACGGAGTCTCGAGGTCAAGTTGTAAATGTGTAACTCCAATAAAAATACATTGCCGGGCGTCTGTGTCTAACCCCAGCGCTCAGGACGCTGAAGCAGGAGAATCCCCATGAACTGTATAGTTTAAGGCCAGTCACCGTCACTGAGTGAGACCCTGGCTCAAAAAAAAAAAAAAAAAGGTTCCCCCCTCCCAAATCAAGGTAGTAGAACTGGCGTGGAGCGCAACGCAATAGTCCAGCAAATGCCCAGCATGTCTGTGGCCCCCTAGGATTGAGCTGCTTTGCCTCTCGCCCTTTTGACAAAGCATCAACAATTTTTATGCTGAATTTTCAAAGCCTGCGTGTTTATGTATTTTTCACCTTAAAGAGTGTTTTGTGAATATTTTTAATTTGTATTTATAATCTTGAGGGGTATGAGAACAACCAGAATTGGTCTTTGAAATATTTTTTTAAATTTATTTTATGGGCATCGGTGTTTTGCCTGCATTTATGTCTGTGAAGGTGTAAGATCTTGGAGTTAGAGTTGTGAGCTGCCGTGTGGGTGCTGTGGAATTGAACCTGCATCCTTTAGAGCAGCGGCTAACCACTGAGCCATCTCTCAATTTAAAAAAAATATTTTTTAAAGTAGACGATTGCATATTAATTTTACTTATAACAGTGTTTTCTTAGTATCCAGCTAATTGCATTATTCTTAGCCTTATTCAGCTATTAGAATACCTAAATAAGACGTTAATTTATCGTCTCCTCTTTCTTTTCTATAGATGTGAATTGGTACAGAGTAGGCTTGTAAAAACTGGTTTGGTTTTAAATTGTTTTTGGGACTGATAACAAGAAGTTCCATAACTGAGCAGTGACGCTTTGCCGTTGGAAAAACAGACTACGGCACATGTTTTTAGAAATTGACTTCTGTTCTCTGGTCAGTCTTCAGTAAGAGATAAAAGGGAGACCTCACTGGGTTGATTAAAATGAATGTCTGTATTCGTAACTTTTTAATTGAGCTGTTAGGGTTGGTGTGTGGGTGCACACAATTCTAAGTCCTTCTCGCACTTGGGAAACAAGCACGCCCAAGTAGCATCCTAGGATGCTGGCTAGGCCGGTGTGCTAGCTTGCGGGTCACCAGTTGGATAGCTGTCCGTGTTAATTTCCAGGGTTTGTTTCCTTTTCCTTTTTAGAGCTAGCGCCTGAGTTTGCAGCTCAGCTCAGGAGGATTGGAGACAAACTGTATTTAGCTTGGTGTGAACCCGACATCGCTGAGGTGCTGGCGGAGATGCCTAGCAAGAAGACGCAAAAGAGCGCAACAAGGAGCCCGAGCCCAACGCCGGTGCCAGCAGGTACAGTCCGGGCGCCGCGGGGCTGTGGAGGCCAGGCTTAGTCCGTTGGAGCTCGCGCCTCCTTGGCGCGTGCCTTAGGAACACCATCAGAAAGTTCTCGAAGCGGCAGCTTGCATGTTAGCCAGGCTTCTTTTCTCTGCACGTTGCCCATCTCTGTAGCTGGTGGGGGTAGAGTGCAGGTGGCCACCCTAGACAGTAAGCCCGCTGAGCGCGGCTGGAGACAGGGCACTGTCCCTGGGAGTGCAGCTCAGAGGACCGGTCACTATGAACGCCCCCACTCCCAGGCCTAACAAAAGCAGTTCTTGAGCTGCTTCTGGGCCCAGCTCTCCCATTCTGGGCTGTTTAAGGTTTAAAGACACCCCGCTGAGAGCCCGCGTTCTGAAACCTAGGAGGTCTTCCTCCTTAGTTAACATTTTAACTGCCCCTGATGGGAAGGTTGGGGGAGAGGGGTGGGCGTTTAGCAGGTGAGGAGTTCTTTTTTTGCCTTCCCCTATCCTTGTCCCCAGTTCCATCACTTTCATTGTCAGCCCACCCCATCTTTTCATCCCAGCACCTTTTTGTTTTTGTTTTGTTTTGTGAATTTCATCGAACCCAGGTCTGCAGTCTGGCTTAGTCTGTAGGACAGACTGCTGTTTCTTCAGACACTCGCAGTAGCCCTGTTGTTTTTCAGTTCAGTAGGCGTGCTGGGAAATTGTTACCTGAAGATGGCTTAATTGGCTTTAGGTCAACTTTTTTTTTTTTCTTTGGGTAGGGTCTCATTTAGCCTGAAATGACCTGGAGCTATCAAGGCTACAGTTCTCCCGTCTCTACCTGTAGGATTACAGCTTGTGTCCCACTACCTCCATTTAGCCAATACTCCACCAACTGACCCACAGCCCTAATGTTTTCAAAGGGTTTTTGTGTTAATATGACCCACTTAACTGTCTCAAAAAACAACAACAAAAAATCCAAAAACAAGGGGGCTGGAGAGATGGCTCAGTGGTTAAGAGCATTGCCTGCTCTTCCAAAGGTCCTGAGTTCAATTCCCGGCAACCACATGGTGGCTCACAACCATCTGTAATGAGGTCTGGTGCCCTCTTCTGGCCTGCAGACACACACGCAGACAGAATATTGTATATATAATAAATAAATAAATAGTTTTTTAAAAAAATCCAAAAACAAAAGAACAAAAAATCCTCGACTTGTAGAAATAAATTGGCTTAGCACAAAATGTAAATTTGAAAATTATTTTGGAAAGTTAGGCTGCAAATCCAGTGCCCAGCTCTAGGAAGGAGGCAGGAGGATTAGGGTTCGAAGTCATCAGCTACACTGCAGGCTTAAGGCCAGAGACTTCATTTCCAATCAACAAATTACGCTTGTTTTAGAATATAAACTCCAACATTACAATAAGCTTTTATGATTCTCATGGGGGGGGTCCCTAAAAACTATGTTTATATTTGCCTGCTGTGAGGGAGGTGTGAGTTATGAGACATTGCCATTTGTAGATCAACACTATAGGCCATTGGAATTTGGCTTTTGTTCCCTGCCGGGCCTTATGAAAACAAGATGACGTCATATGAGTCTGCAAAGGGCTGACTAATGGTACCGCTGAAAAAATTTAATGCTTGTAATTTCTATATTTGGAGAATTGACCTTATCCGGGGTGCTTTTGCAAAACCAAAACAAATGTTTCAACTCCAGCTTGGTCTGTGCGTCTGTTACCATACTGGAAGTCAGGTGCACTGAAGGTGAAGTACTCTGATGAGGGCCTCAGCTTGTCACAGCCGGCGTGCGTTACAACGCTTGAGGGTGTACGGTTAGGACCTAGGACCGGTGTCCGAGTTAATGGTTATGTTTGGCTTTTCTTTTTCAGATGTGGAAGATGAGTTTACTCAACTCCGGAGAATTGGAGACAAACTGAATTTCTGGCAGAAACTTCTGAATTTTATTTCCAAGCTCTTTAATTCAGTAACCTGAGTTCATCAAAAGTTTTTGCAAGCAGGGACTCCTAAAAAAGGAAGTTCCCCCAGTTGGTGCAAATGTCTATTATGGGATGAACAGTGATGTGATGGAGGGGGATGCTTCTCTGAGCACAGATCGTGAATGGCATGAATGAATTTCTTCAGGAAAGGTTTCAGAAACCTTTCTTTGAGCTGCGATAACATGAAACACATTCCTTTTAAAACGAGACAAGAGGAATCATGGGAATAGGGAAGAAACTGTCTTTTGAGAGTTGTCTGGTGTCTTTGCCAAGGCTGTTGTCCTGAGTCATGGGAAGGGGCATGGCAAATGATTACATCCGATGGGGATAGTTGTTCAGTATTGCCTTTTCCTTTTTGACAGCAACTCCAGAATAATGTGTACTATTTAGTTTCATTCACTTAATCTTCTGAGAGGAGACATTTAATTTTTGTTAACATTGAGTGTTATAGTGAATACTGATTTTATAAGTCACTGTGAACCTATTGTGTCTACTTAGGTGACTTTTTTTTTTTTTTTAAGTTGAGGCAGGATTTCTCTGGTTAACAATCCTGTCCGTCCTAGAACTTATTTTGTATACCAGGCTGGCCTCGAACTCAGAGATCTGCCGGTGTCTGCCTCCCAAGTCCTGGGCACTAAAGGCGTGCGCCACTATTGCCCAGCTGACTTTTAAGTGTGTTACTGTAACCGTTAACTGGAAAGTATGGAAAGCCACCCTATAACTGGAAAAAGTTAGAAGTATTTCAAGGTCACTTGGTGCCAGTAAAATTCTTGCAGATTGATTATTACGTGATAAAGAAAATTGGGATTTTATGTAGACAATGAAAAGCAAGAAACTTTTAAAAGTTGATATAATTAAAACTTAGTAAAAGATTCATAAGAAGTTTCTAAAATTTTATAGCCTGCCACAAGTATTTCTTAGAAGGTTTTTGGTGGGTTTTGTTTTGCTTTTTTTAAGACAGCATTTCTTTGTATCTCTGGCTGTCCTGGGAACTCACTCTATAGATCAGGCTAACCCTAAACTTAGAGATAGCCCCATCTCTGCCCCCCAAGCCACTCCCACCTCCTCAGCTTTAGAGTTTCATTTTTAATTTGGGATATAAACGTGAAACTCAAATAACAAATCAATTCTGGTTAACAGAGGCAAGAGACTGGAATTCCCTAAAAGGCACACAGATGGCCAACAGATCTGTGATTCAGAGAAAGGTAAATGAAAACCACCAACCAAAGAAAGATAGCAAGCGTTGTTAGGATGCAAGAAGAGAAAGAATTTCTATAGGTCTTTGTTATGGTTGTTAGGTAGGACGCCCACTTTGTGAAACAGCATTGAGGTTCTTTTAAAACTAAGAAATGAACCACCCTAAACCCAGCTGTCCCACTACTAAGTATATGTGCAAAGGTATTGGAATCTGTACTTCTGTATTTTTTATTATTTGTATTAGCTAAGACAGGGAAGCTATCAGAGGCTGAGAGGGTTTTAAAAGTGGGAGTATAACAAAATTGAGCCTTAAAAACCGGGAAATGTTATTTGTTAAACCTGGACATTTATATTTTGACAAAAGTCACATAGTCAACAAATAATAGGAATAAGGTGGCTTGGGGAGGTGGGAAAATGGCCACCCCAGAGGGCAGAAGCGGAAGTGAACCCTGACGTTCTTTTATACAACAAGGCTACTGCAATTGGGAAATGAGGTCATGATTGAGTTTTACCAGAAGTAATTTATTTTACTTATTTATAGTTGAAATTTTTGTTTCATTTGAACACGTATGTCACTTTCATTTCTGTTATGAGACAAGGGTTTCGTAACACCGTGAAGGGTGTTGTATAGCTAGTCACTTTGGATGAACTTACCTCAGTAGTTAGTGGGCCTCAGCATTAAAGTTTTCACTTTGAAGATTTTTTTTTCTTGGCCTAAAGGTAGACAGACAGTTTACCAAATGGGTATTTATGGTCTGTGACTGTATTTATATGTTTGTTTCTGAAGACCGATCTTATGGTCTGGACTATTAAATAGAGTTGAATACAGTGGCCGCTATTGAAAAATATCACGTCTTCCTGTGTGTTTTTTTGTAAATTAAGAAGTGTATTAAGCTATTTTAATATGTGTCAGCAGACATCTGGTGTGGTGTATATGTGCGTTTGAATGCATGTTTGTGTGGGAAGGTGTGCATCAGAGGTCAATAGTTTCTCCGCATTATTAGAGATATTAGTGAATGTGTGCGGGTGTACACATGCTACTGTGTTTGTATGGAGGCCAGAATGCAACTTTTAAAAAATTACATGTATCTATTTGTGTGTGTGTGTGATGCTTCATGTGTGGAGGTCAAAGAACAATCTGAGCATCAATCCTTTCCCTCCACTTCACGGATTCCAGCAGTGGAGCTCGATGTTGTCTTGGCTGCCAGTGTCATGCTGTTGGCTCACTGAAGACAGCTTACAGGAGTTGGTCCTCCTTCCCTCAAAGTGTATGTGACAAGCACTTTTACCCACGGAGCCAGCCCCTATATTTTTAGAGATGGAATCTCCCTGAACCTTAACTAGCTGGCCAGCGAGCTCCAAACATTCACCTCTCACCTGGGATTACAGGGGTGTGCTGCTATGCTCATCTTTTGATTTTATTATTATATTGTCTATGGTTCAAAACAATTTTCAAATTAAAATACTTTGATAATAATCCTTCCCCCTCCCTACAACCCAACTGTAAGTTTTTTCTCAAAAAACAAAAACAATACAGTAGCACCCACCCCCGAAAAAGAAAAAAAAATAAAACAAAGCCACATCCAAAAACAATAATAAAATAAAAAAAAAATAATAAAAAACCCAGCAAACTAACCAAATACAAGCACAAACTGGAGCCCAATGGTGTATCGATCCACTACTGAGCATGAAGCCTGTCCTGGCATGGCTGATGTATCCAGTGTTGTTCTGCTTGAGAAAACGAACTTTTCCTCTCCTAGTAGATGTGACCTTTGAGTTGTTAACCTTTACCCCAGTGGCTAGGCTCTCATTCATTCATGTTTTAAAAATTATAACAAAATAAGTGGGGGGATGCAACAGGGATGAAGGGGGATATGGAGTAACCAGGAGGTGAACAGAACTGGGGTGCATGATGTGAAACCCCCAAAGATTCGATAAAGAAGAAAAATATAACAACATAAGATAGAAACTATCACAGGGAAGTTGCCAAGACAGACCAATAGAAGGGAAAGGGCCTAAGGGAAAACACAAGGATCAGAGTCACCCATTCGCACACTCAAGGAATCCCATAGAAACACTGAACCGGAAGTCCTATGTGTAGAGGCCCTAGTGCAGGCCTTGTGAATGCTGCCACCGCCTACATTCATAGGCGCTTTAGAGAACCTTGTTTTCTTAATATCCTCCATCCCCTATGGCTCTTACAATCTTCCTGACTCTTCTTCTGAGGGGGTAGAAGGTGGCGGAGGTGTTTCCCTGAGCTTTGAGGGGCGGGGTTGCGTTCCCAAAGTCTCTCTCTGCACAGTGTCTGCCTGTGGGTCTCCATATGTGTTCCCATCTGCTGCAGGAGGAAGACTCTCTGAAGATGGCTGAACGAAGCACTGATCTAAGGGTATAGGAGAATATCTTTAGGGGTTATTTTATCATTATATTCTTTTCCTTTTTTAGATCATTATTATTTGGTTTTATTCTAGGTCCCTGGGCTATCTAGTCTCAGGTTCTTGGCCACCCAAGCAGTGCCGGGTATGGGTTCTATCTTGTGGAGTGGGAATTAAGTCAGTTATTGGTTACGCCTACAAATTTTGTGCCACAATTTCCCTGGCACATCTTGCAGGCAGTTGCATCATCAGGGATAAAGGGCTTGTGGCTCATTTGGTGCTTTATGTTTCCCTTGAGAGCAGGCACACACCATCAGTCCCAGCACTGAACCGACAGAGGCAGTCATCTCCGAGTTCAAAGCCAGGCTGGTCTATGTGGAGAGTTCAAAGACTACATAGATCTTGTCTTAAAAAAAAACAAACAACAACGAAAACAATAAAACACTTGGGTGATTTGAAGGTGTCTTGAGCAGAGTGGGCTGAGGAGAAGCGAGGTCTGCCCACTTTCCCCTGCCCCTTGCCTTGCCCCAGTGGAGCACACAGCGGAGTTCCCTTTGTGTGGAGCTGCTGTGTGATTCCGGTGGTGCTGACCTCATCCTTCTCCCTCAGCCTCCAGCCCTAGGACTGCAAGGATTGCTTCACCCTGAACCAGTCACGTGCAGAAGAAGTAGGCACAACGGGGTGACCTTCCTCTTTGAATGTGAGAACTAGGAAACAGTCTTCAGAAGCCTTATCTTTACCTCTACCCTCGAAGATTCTCATGACCTGTAGGGAAGGGAGTGCAATCTTCTCTAAAGGGAAGTGAGGGATGGAGAGTTGCTGGGGGAGACCCTGGGGAAGCAGCTCCGGGAAGGTTGAGAGGTCTTTGCAGGAAGAAGCTCCCATAGGGCTTGGTGCAAGAGAAACTTCAAAGCTCTTACAGCTAGAATTGAGGAACATTCAGGAGGAACACGTGGAAACTTGGCTATAGAGTTCACAAACTCGACATATGTGAACTTTTGTTTGTGTGTGTGAGTGTGTATGCCCGAGTGTGTGAATCTGGAGGCCAGAGGAGGTCCCACTGTGTCTTTTTCCTTTGAGAGGAGGTCTCTCACTGAGTCTGAAGGAGCCAGTGAGTCCTAGCTATCCTCCTGTTTGCCAGCACACACACACGCACACACAGACATACACCTGCCCCACCTCCATTTTGGCCTTTTTTCATAGGTCCTGGCACCCAAACTCAGGCCCTCAGGCTTGTACAGCAAGCTCTCTTTCCCACCGAACCACCCTCCAGTCTATGACAGTTTTGAGACAGTCCCACTAGTACTTTGCCAAGGCCAGATTTGACTTGAACTCCAGATCTTCCTGTTAAGTTGGTAGCCTCCCAACTTAACACTTCCTGCCTCGACTTTCTCAAGGTTGGGCTTGCAAGGATGGGCTATACACCACACCCTATGAAAGGCACATTTTCATGCTTAAAATATTCCCCCAAAGAGCCAGATATGGTGGCTCATGTCTGTTATCATATAGCATCTAAGGAGCTAAGGCGAGAGGAAGTCTGAAGGAACTTTAGCAGGCCCGAGCATGGCAAGCATGGCACTGGCAGGCCTTTCCCTCCCCCCTCTCCCTTGTAAACCATAGATTAAATTGCTAAAGCTACCCGCCAATGTCTCTTCCCTCACTTGGACACTTTCTTATGCTAGACTCATCCCTAAGGCTGATCCCCAAGGTCAAGCTATCAAAGTATTAAAGTCTAGCAATCAAAAGTCCCCTTTTGTCTGCTCTAATTAATATGTCCAATCGAAACAAACCAGCTCATCCTAACATGAGGGGTTTCCCGTTTCCCTTTATAAGACGCCATCTTCCTATGGGCCACATTCAACTCTGCTCTATCCAGAGGCAACCCTTTGTCCCTCCCTGCCTCCTCTCCCTTGTTCCTGTTTCTTTCTCCCTTGTCCTCTGTCTTTTATTCCCTGCCCGTTGTCTCTCTGGGACAAATATGTCTCTTTCGTTCTGAGAACTTGGTCTTGGTATGGCCTGTGTCATTTCTGGTCTTTTGATGTCAAGTTAAAGACCAGCCTAGACCCACGCAGCTAAGACCCTGTCTGCGAAAGAAAAACAGATCTTGAGGTATCCATGTGGTTGTATTTGTTGGATGACGCAAAGAGACCATTTTTATCTGTATTCACTTTTGTTGTTTCCCTTACTATTAATTATTTGTTTATGGGGGGCGGGGTGCACGCGCCATGGCATGCCAGTTGTGCCTATGGCAGTCAGAGGACAACTTGCAGGGTTGCTTCTCTCCTTCCACCTTGTGGTTCCTTGAACTGATCTCAGGTCTCAGCCTAGGTCGCAGGCTGAGTGCCTTCGCCTGCTGAACTGACTCACTAGTAAATTCTGGTCTTTTGCTGTTTTGAGACAAGACCTCACTGTGGAACCCTGGCTGGTGTTGAACTCAACACTCAGACCAGGCTGGTCTCCAACTTTCAGTGATGTTCTCGACTCTGCTTCCAGAGTTCTGGGACCACAGGCTCGGGCCACCGAGCCCTGTCTTTGTTAATCTTGGGTCCCTGCCCTAGCCACGCCCACTCCCATAACCTCTGACCCGCCCATCGCCATCTTGGGACCCTCTCTCTCTTTCTGCTTCCTTGGCGTGTGCACGCGTTTTCTCTGTCTCTCTCTTCTTTTATCTCTCCTCTCTCCTTTTATCTCTTTTCTCTGTCTTTCTTTCTCCCCCTTCCTTAATAAATACTTATGGCTATTTCCTGTGTTTACGTGTCTGTTACCTGCCGCCACCGTGGGCCAAGGAAGCGTGCCCTCCTGTAGCCTCTTTCTCATGGCGGGCCCTGCCAGCCCGCACGGGGATCATTTGTAGCCGCTCTCTAATCGTTTTTTAAGAATAACAGTCTTATGTTACATTTTTTTTTGTTTGTTTGAGATAGAAGTATTCTGTAGCCCTGACAGTTCTCCAGACTTGTAATGTAGCCAAGGCTGGTCTTGTTCTCTTTATTCTTCTGCTTCTACTTCCCAATTCCCAATCACAGACATGTACCTCCACAGCAGGCTGTATATCTTTAAAAAAAAAAAAAATACAGCTCTGTATATTTGAAAAATTCTTCTAGTTATCTATCCATGTCTCATCAATCTCTCTCTCCTTCTATTATCTGTCAACGATTCACCTACATTTATATAATCTATCTTCTATCTAAATCATCTGGTAAAATTGTTTTTCAGATGAAAGTCCTAGTTCGCTGTCACACGGGTTTGAGACTCTCTTACAAGAAGCACAACCCCTCCTCTATGTCCACACAGAACCAACTCCTTACTATTATAATATAAATGGTGAAAAATCTCATAGAACTCCTCAAATCTTTGTCAAAGGATCATCTATCAATCCACCAGACAGATAACTTGACATCTTTCTTTTTTTGTTGTTTGTTTTTCGAGACAGGGTTTCTCTGTGGCTTTGGAGCCTGTCCTGGAACTGGCTCTGT